TAAGGCCCATATCGGTCATTTCAAACCTCTTAATGAGTGCCTCCCTAAATTCTGAGATTAGCTTCAAGTTGTTTCCAGTAAAAACCAGATCATCAACATACAGACAGATTAGAACAATATCACCAGAATCCGTGCATTTGACATACAAAGTGTGCTCATGAGGACATCTCATAAAACCACTTTCAACAAAATATGAGTCAATGCAACCATACCACGCACGCCCTAGGTGCTTGCTTTAAGCCATACAAGGCTTTTCTCAACCTGTACACTTTATTTTCCTCCCCTTTCTTCAGAAATCCCGCAGGTTGCTCAACATATATTTCTTCTTCAAGAAAACCATTCAGAAAAGCAGACTTGACATCCATTTGATGCAATTTCCAATCATTTTGAGCAGCAAGAGAAATAACCATTCGAACTATATCAAGTCTACTTACAGGAGCAAAAACCTCAAAATAATCAATACCTGGTTTCTGCTTGTAACCCTTTGCTACTAACCGTGCCTTAAAACGGTCAATTTCTCCATTTGACTTGTACTTCGTTCTGTAAACCCACTTCACTCCAATTGGCTTCTTTCCAGGAGGTAAATCTGTTAACTCCCAGGTACCATTCTTCTCAATGGCACGTATCTCCTCATCCATCGCCTTAAGCCAATGAGTTTCTGTAGCAGCCTCCTCAAAAGATAAAGGATCACAATCTACAAAGAGAGCTAATTGAACAATCTCTTCATCAGACAGGGCATTATCATGACCCAAAACATAATCCTGCAAGCGAGCTGGTAAGTGGCGCTCGCGTTGTGATCGTCGAACTGACGACTCTGGCTGTGAAGGAGACTGGACATGATCTGGAATCGATTGCTCATCAACAATATTGTCAACAACGGGAATAACAATTGAACTTTCATCTTTAGCTAACCAATCCCAAGCACCATATTCATCAAAAGTGACATCACGACTTATAACAACCTTTTTAGTTTCAGGATTGTATAGTTTATAAGCCTTTGAAGCGTCACTATAACCAATGAATATGCATTTCTCACCTTTATCATCCAACTCCTTTCTCAATGGATCTGGCACATGTGCATATGCCAAACATCCAAAAACCTTGAGATATTTGATAGAGGGTTTTCTCCCACTCCAAGCTTCTTCGGGTGTCTTATCACATACACTTTTAGTTGGACACCTATTCAACACATAGATAGCACAAGCAACAGCTTCTGCCCAAAAAGGCTTAGGCAGATTCTTGGATTTCAACATGCACCTCACCATATCCATGATTGACCTATTCTTCCTCTCAGCCACTCCGTTTTGTTGTGGAGTGTATCTAGCTGTCATTTGGTGCTGAATACCCTTTTCTTTCAGAAAATTATCACAAGCAATATATTCTGTACCTCTATCAGTTCTCAAGATTTTAATCTCATAACCACTTTGCTTTTCAACAAAAGTCTTAAATTGTTTGAAAACATCACATGCTTCAGACTTTTGCTTCAGAAAGTAAACCCATGTTTTCCTACTGAAATCATCAATGAAAGTAATAAAGTACTTACAACCTCCATGTGAGGGAACCTCCAACGAACACAGGTTTGAGTGAACAATCTCCAACTGTTTTGTAGCTCTCCTTGACTTGCCCAAGGGAAAGGGATCTCTATGCTTCTTCCCAATCACACAAATCTCACAGATACGATCAGGGACATTCACAACAGGTAAATCAGAAACAAGTTCCTTTCTCGCAAGATAGTTTAACCCAGAAAAATGAAAATGCCCAAACCGCATATGCCATAACCAATTATCATCACAAACTTCAGAATTAAAGCAAGCAAGGAGAGTATGCTTAATTTTCAAAGGAAATAGTCGATTTTGAGACATATTTACCTTTGCAATCAAAACTCCTTTAGCATCTGCAATGGTACAACACCCCTGAGCAATATGTATCTTATATCCTTTTTCTGACAACTGACCCATACTCAACAAATTTTGGTGTAGTTCAGGAACATAGAACACATCGGATATAAAATTTTGAGTACCATCTTTCAACTGAATAGAGATTTTACCTTTTCCCAAAATTGGCACCTTTGACTTATTGCCAAATGTCACTTCAGACCGGACTGATTCATCCAGTTCAGAAAATAATTCTTTCTTCCCACACATATGGTTACTACACCCAGTATCCAAGAACCATATGTTCTTATCTGTAGAAAAACTATCGCTGGCTAAAAGTAAAGTTTCAGAACTCTCACCAGACTTTTCAGCAGTATTTTCAACAATGTTTGCTTGATTTCCACGATTGTTGTCCTCATTATACCAACAATCTGCAATCTTGTGCCCATACTTGCCACAATTGTAGCAATGAAATGGAAATTTACCTTGTTTGGTATTACCTCCACCTCTTCCTTGGTTGGAGTTACCACGACCTCTTCCACTAGAACCTCCTCTTCCTCTTCCACGACCTCTACCAAATCCTCCACCTCTTTGATTAGTGCCAGCCACATTAAGGGTGACTTGACTCTTCAAAGCTTCTTCTGCTAGTGGTTCCGATTTTGACGCAATTCTGTCAATATGACTTTCTACCATACCTTTCAGCTCTACAATTGACAAGAGCTCGGTTTTGTGTGACTCTGTGATCGAAGCCACCACATGGTCATACTTCATCGGCATAGTTCGAAGAACTTTCTCAACCACTGCACCATCTTCAATTGTATCTCCGTATAACCTCATCTTATTCACCATATCAATAAGACGAGTGAAATACGCATCTACTGTTTCTGTAGAGGTCATCTCACAATTATCTTACAACCTTCTCAATGACTGCAACTTAGACTTCTGCGCCCGATCAACTTCTTTGTGTGACACCTTTAAGATGTCCCAGGCTTGTTTTGCTGTTTGAGCACGAGCTAATTGCCCAAAAATGGAATAATGAACACCTTGGTGAATCTGACCCAAGGCCAATTTATCTCGCCGTATAGCGCCTGCTTTAGCTCCTTCTTGTAGACCGGGATCAACAAAGCTCCAAAGATTTTGAGCTTGCAAATGTGTGGACATCATAATTTGCCAATAATTGTAATCGAGTTTCCCGTCCAATTTGGGACTTGACCATACAATATTGAAATTTGTGGCCATAATTCACTACGAAAAATATCTCGGGGTTGAAAGGTTGACTGGCTTTGATACCAAATGTAAGATATATTAAATACAATATATTTAATATAATATATATTAAATATAATATAATATATCTATAATATATATATATATATATATATATATAATATATATTTGAGAAGAGAGAGGGGGAGGAATGCTTAACACTTGATTGATGATTTAAAAAGCTTGAATACACAGACTATTTATACTAAAATAACAAAGCTAAAATCATGTTCCATGTATGCCATTATTCACGTACTACTCCATGTTGTAAACCCACGTACTAAGCAAACAAGGCTCCATGTACTGCATGCTGCAATATGCTACACGTACTCCATATTGCCACATTCCATTACTTGGTTTAATAATAATAATATTATTATTATTATAACAGAACAATTTTAAAAAGTTAAAAGTATATGAATATTTATAAAAGTTATGTGATTTATTGTAAAATTTGGTGGAATAGATGAAAGTTTGTCTAGTTTAAATGTAGAGAAAAAATTTGTATAGAAAGTTGAAAAGTTTGGCACTAGAGTCCTGAATTTTAACTATTTATATTGAAGAGGAAAAAGACTACAAAATCCTAATTTGATAGAGTCTATAAAAGTATATTAGTTTTTTTTTTTAAACAGTCTATTAGTTTTTAAATACCAATAGATTTAAAAGTTTGAATCGAATACCAATTATCTTTTAAAGATATTTTAAAAGTCTGCGAATACTGGTAGACTTTTTAAGACTCTTTAAAAGTTTTAATTGAATACAACTAGACTTTTTTTCTTTTTATGATGAAAAATACAACTAGACTTTTAAAGTATTTAAAAGTTCTTAGAGTTCATAAAAGTCTTGATTGAATACTCTTTACCATAGGGTATTGTGTTATGTGCGGTTGTGATAGGTGTTGCTGAAGGTCTCACCTACAAGAGTAATGAGATTCGGGAGAGGAAGGGCAAGCTAAGTCTTAGATTCATTGGACCGTATAAAGTCTTAGAAAGGATTGAAAAAGTGACTTAATAAGTTGGCTTTACCAACAGAGTTGGACAAGGTAATTAAGGAGCTCATTATTAATCAAAGATTATATTAAAATTGACGAGAGAATGACCTAACTAAGTCACGGAGAATGTTTTGATGTCAAGGTACATGATGTATTCCACATTTCAACGTGTCTCAACTAAAGAAGTATGTGCATGATAAGTTGCACATAATCCGTCCAGAGGTAAGAAGGAATGTGGATTTAAGTCCTTAGATGCATACCTGAGTGGTGGTGATGCTAATAACACCCCTATTATGATTAAATTGAATTTAAATTCTTTGGAAAACAAATTTTTAGAATATTGATTTTACTATTTAGGAAGAAATTAAATAAATTGTAGAAAATAATTAATATAAACAAATGCCTCTATTTAATAAAAACATTTGAAGGCAATATAGGAACTTCCATTATATCTTTCCTCTCAAAATATGTAAAATAAAATAAAATACCAAAAAGAGAACAATAAATTCATTTTCCTCAAACTTGAAGAATAATTCTCATATAACCAAACAAAGTAAAATATGATTTTACTCCATAAGCACTATATGAAATGCCATCATCATTCTCATTTGCTGACTTACCCAATAAAGATCCAAAAGAAGGATAAGTGGGTGAGAAGCCTAAGCCATCCAGGCCAGTTGGGACTTGGGGCTCTTGCAGTCAAAGTATACAAACATATAATCAAATTAAAACATCATTGCATTGAAATCATAAGAAACACACTTGGCTAAGCACCCACATCACCTGAAGTTTACAATTAACTTAACCAAAAAAAGAGGGTCATTCTTGGACTCTACTGCTTGAGGGAGGATTCAAAATGCCCTACAAAATAATACTTACTGAACAGTAGCTTAGGATACCATCCATGTCTTACAAAAAGTTTAGTTTCAACTTTCACCACAGCCATTGATTACATTTCTATATATTGCATCCTAACCCATGGAGCTACATACCAATCCGCCGCCATACTAAATTCGTAAAGATCAGGGTGACCAATCAGGGTATGTGGCTACCAGGCCTTCTTGAAGACGAATTGTGCTTTTGGAGATGCATGCGGGAAGCACAACAACTCCCTTGAGATATCAGATTCCATAGTACAACCCTTCTGAATAAATACATTCTCAAGTTGAGGGGATTTTGAGAGCAGTGCTTTCAAAAATAGCATTTCGAGTGTGAATCCACTACGACATTCAAACTTGATTGTGTTAAGCTTCTTCAAATCCTGAATATTAAAGCAACCATCTGGATCCTCCAAAACTCTTAGTCTTGAAGCTTTGTCATCCCTCCAACTTGACTACAGCTCAAGAAGAAATGAAAAACACGCACAACTCTGAGGAACTTTGAAAAAGAAAAGAAAAAATAAAAATAAAAAATAGAACATTCATGCATGATTGCCAAATATATACTCAACCTTTTTTGCATTAATCCCCAATTCACATAGGTTGGGACATTTTTGAATCAATTGCATAGCAACAGTGAGCTGCTTCCCACAACCAAAACTTAATTCATACAGCTTCATTACTTGCAGATTTACTGCAGTTGGGAATTTCGGTACGGCTGCTGCAACAGGTTTACGCTTCAAAAGCATAATAAACAACAAAAACTAAATCATTCTGTATAAATAATGGATGTGTGTATTACATACATATATCCTTTTGCATTAAGATAATATGAAGTCCAGATTCTCACCGACAACAACAGGCCAGACAAATAGTTTAACAACTATTATTAATTTAACAAATTTACTAATTAAATTTTTGATATCCTCTGATTAATAAAGAAAGTATTGGTTGTGGAAACAAAAAAACCTACTGAGTTCTTGAGCTCAGAATTAGTTTAAATTTTTTTTTTTTAAAGAAATTTGAATTTGAAATAACTACTTTAATTATGTAACTAACGTATTTAAATAAAACTTGTAAATAAAATAACAGACAATATTTGTGAAAAATCTCCACCAAAAAACTTATTGATTTGAAAAATATTATTTATGTAAGAACTATATTTATTTTATATCTAATTTCTCCTCTTTATATATGTGGAGTCAAATTAATTATAATTGAGGTTTAAATAAACATATACACAAATTATATTAAATATAAAATTTTACCAATAAATTTGAACACAATAAACATGTGTGTGTGTGTGTGTGTGTGTGTGTGTGTGTGTGTGTGTGTTCATAGATTGAGCGATTGAAATTGAATAAATTGATGTTGAAATATTGTTTACTGGATTTTCTTCTATGTAGTTTTGTTAGAATTTTTTACTTGTTGCCGGCAAAAAATCATAAATAAGGTGTCTTTTTATTTTCCCTTTTCTTGAAACTAACCTAGGATGGTTATAGACTTTCAAAAAAAAAAAAAAAAACCTAGGATGGTTATAGAAATGTGGGTTAAAGACGGTAATATAAGATCACTATTGGTGTTATTGTAAAAAAAAAAAAAAATTACATTTATTTATTGCAGATTCACCATCTTTAATATACTAGCTACCGTGAGAAACAAGTGGTTTCTGTGTTGATATGTTCTTTCTTTTCCCTTAACAGACTGAGTTTCAATGTACAGTATTGTTTTTTGGTATTGATTTTTGAAATGTAGGGTGTACTAATCCTTTTACCTTCATCATGCTTCATGCTTTCTATAGCATAAAGCTCATAATGACTTCAGTGGGTTAGGATATGCACTCCCTTAAATTTTGCATCTTTCAAAATTAGTATCTTCGTGCGTGCCTGAGGCTTGCAATTTATAATTACTAATTTACTATTGTCAATTTCACCCATCCTAAGGTTTTGTTTCAATTTTAATTTATTTGTACATTAATTTACATATATTAAAGTTATTTGGGTTATAGGGAGAAAACGTCAACGAAGGAAACTCCCCAAAGGTATATTTGACATGATTTTGGGGTTCTTACCAATTGAACAATCTATTAGAATGGCTGTTTTGTCTACTTTTTGGAGAGAGATGTGGTTCAGTCTTACAGAGCTCTACTTGGACTCTAGGTTATTTTTTTATCGCATTATGAGAAAATATTCCCATGCTATTGGCTTTATCACGACCCAAACCACACAAGAGGAAAAGAAAAACAGTGATATTTGGATGTCTGCAACTTTGTATGTAATCAACAAAGTCCTCAACCAGAACAATGGACTTATTCGCACATTTGTCTTTGATTTTCAGTATTCCAATACGAATACACTTTGGTCGCGGTTGTTTGACTTGGACCAATGGTTCCTTTTTGTCACACTAAAAGGTACGTGTTGAAGAAATCCACATTTGTCTTATGATTGGAGATGAATATAGTCTTCCGAATTGTATATTTTCTTGCCAAACACTAACGAGATTACATCTTAATGGAGTCTCTATTAAATTAATAGATGCCCATTGCAGATTATCAAATGTCACTCCACTTTTTTTGATAATGTTGACTTTGTTGGTGTGATAATCCATCTAATTTGAATATTACTATTCAAAAACTCAATAGTTTAACAATAAGCGATTGCCGTTTTTACAAACTCCCTATTAACTTGGACTTGAGATATGTTCGTGCTTTTGATTTGGATAGTTATGCTCTCAATGTATCAGAACACTTTAATTTTAGCGGTGACTTTTCTTCAACATTCATTCATTTTCTTCGAATATGCCCAAAGTTATACTAACATTCTACTGATATTCTCACATAGTAGGATAAACAACAACAAAAAATATATATATATAGGGAAATTATCAATAAATTTACGGAAAATTGTAATTTATGCCCCTCCATAATATGTCAATTATCAATGTCACCCCTGAATTATTATTAGTGTAAATGTTACCCCTCAATTTTCAAAATGATACATATATTGTCCTTCCCAAGTGTAAACGTTGCCCCTCAATTTTCAAAACGATACATATATTGCTCGTCCCATATGGTATGAGAGGGGCAATATATGTACTGTTTTGAAAATTGAGGGACAACATTTACACCACTAATAATTCAGGAGTGACATTGATAATCGACATAATATGGAGTGACATAAATTACAATTTTCCCATAAATTTATATCAAATTCGCATAACTTTGGGCATATTTGAAGCAAATGAATGAATGCTGAAGAAATGTCACCGCTAAAATTAGAGTGTTATGATACCTTGAGAGCATAACTATCCAAACCAAAAGAACGAATATATCTTAAGTCCAAGTTAATAGCTAGTTCATAAAAATGGCAATTGTTGATTGTTAAACTATTGAGTAGTAATGTTCAAATTAGACAGATTATCACAACTCATAAATAAGATATTCTCAAGCATAGGAAAACCAACCGGAACCGAAGATCAACACCAACAAAGTCAACATTATATTATCAAAACAAAGTAAAGTGGTATTTGGTAATGTGCAATGGGCATCTATTCATTTAATAGAGACTCCATTAAGATGCAATCTCCTTAGTGTTAGGCAAGAAAATATGCATTTCGGAAGAATATATCCATCTCTAACCATAAGAAAAGATGGATTTCTTCAACACCTTTTCATGTGACAAAAAGGAACCACTGGTCCAAGTCAAACAACTGAGACGAAAGTGAATTCCTATTGAAATACTGAAAAATCAGTGATAAATGTACGAATAAGTCCATTGTGTTGGTTGAGGACTTTGTTATTACACACAAAGCTGCAGACATCTATATTTCATTGTTTTTCTTTTCCTCTTGTGTGGTTTGGATCCTGATATCACCACTAGCATGGAAATATTTTCTAATAATGCGATAAAAAAAACATAAAAAAAAAAAAAAAACTAGAGTCGAAGTAGAGCTCTATAAGACTGAACCATATCTCTCTCCAAAAAGTAGACAAAACATCCCTTCTAGCAAGTTGTTCAATTGGTAAGAGCCCCAAAATCATGTCAACTATACCTACGGGGAGATCTCTATGTTTTCTCCCCATAATCCAAATTTAATATATGCAAATTAATGTACAAATAAATTAAAATTGAAACAAAACCTTAGCATGGGTGAAATTGAAAATAGCAAATTAGTAATTATAAATTGCAAGCCTCAGCTGTACGCACGAACATACTAATTTTGAAAGATGCAAAATTTAAGGGAGTGCTTATTCTAACCCACTGAAGTCATTATGAGTTTTATGCTATAGAAAGCATGAAGCATGATTAAGGTAAAAGGATTTGTACACCCATGCATTTCAAAAATCACTACCAAAAAAATAATATTGTACATTGAAACTCGGACAGTTAATGAAAAAGAAGAAACATATCAACACAGAAACCACTTGTTTCTCAACGTGGCTAGTACATTAAAGATGGTGAATCTACAATAAATAAATGCAATTTTTTTACAATAACACCAATAGTGATCTTATATTCCCATCTTTAACCCCCATTTCTATAACCATCCTAGGTAAGTTCAAATAAGGGGAAATAAAAAGACACCTTATTTATGATTTTCAGCCGGCAACAAGTAAAAAATTCTAACAAAATGGCATAGAAGAAAAACCAGTAAACAATTTTTCAACATCAATTTATTCAATTTCAATCACTCTATGAACACATATATAACATTTATTCTTAAAAGTTGAAAGATCATGTTGTGTAAATCACAGTATGAAGCTAGTTTCAGCGACAAAATGGAAAAGGCGAAAGAATGTATACATACAAACAAACACCTTGGCGCACAAAAGATAACGGAGAAGCGTTTGAGTTGGGAGAGATTTGCAATTTGCTAAACCCTTCATTGCTATATTCCCAGTCGAGTACTGAAATCGGGTCCGGAAAATTATCTCTATGGTGTTCTATAAACAACAATATAAATACCTAAATACACTAATATATGCCAAAAAGGGAATCAACCACAACACAAATTGGGAACAAATATAAAAAATTTAAGAACAAACACCAACAAAGCAAGAGAACATCTTACTTCAACAAAGCTGAATCTATGTCGAAAGGCGACGTTGGTGAGGTTACGTCAATGTCATTGTTGATCGTTTGTGAGTGAGAGGGAGATGGCAAGAAAGAGATGAATTAGGGTTCGTTATAATGTACTATTTATTGGGTACGAAACTAGGGTTTATGAATTAGGAAATTTTAATGGTAGGCGAGCCCACTCCTTAACAACACATGCTCATGCGGCCTGCATCTTGTTGGGCCTCAAAATTCAAAATACAATGCTACCTTATTATGTGACGAAATGGCCCGCATGTATATAATCAAAGTGTTATTCATGATAAATAGGGACGTGAAAGATATTTGTGGCCCGCGAATTAGCCCTAACCCACCGTGCCCACGGCTGGTTAGGGTTAAAATTCTTTGGCTTGCGACGAAGCGGGCCTCGCGGGCTCACATACGGGTTCACTTGTGCAGGCCGCAAGCCAACCCGTTGGCCTCAAATATTAAAAAATAATTATTTTTAAAAAATAAAAATGTTATAACTCATTACCAAGACTATGTGGTCTAATGGTATTCGGGTTGGATTTCCATTTGGAAGGTTGTGAGTTTGAGCTTCAGTGGAGGCGTTATTGGTTCTTTGTGTTTCAGTGGGTTCATTATTAAATATTCATACTTTTCAAATCATATTATACATTGTTGTTCATTGCATTGTGTATATTATTAATATTTCTTAAATATTCATACTTTTCAAATCATATTATACATTGTTGTTCAACATACCAAGCTTGAGAATCCCGACCTGACAGCCCGGGCAAGGCTTTTAACCCTGCAGCGGCTGAGGAAGAGCGAGCCGCGGGTTCACCTAGTGAGACTTAGTAGCTAGCTTTCCTTTCTTTCTTTTGTGCTATGTATGGTAAACAATCACTTCTTTTGCTTGTTTGGAGTTATGACATTGTTAGTTCGCCTATGGTTCTTTTCTCGTACATCCAATTTGCCCTTTTTGTCTTCTAAAGCTTGGATTTTAATTTCGAGGTGTATTAGCCACACGACTTCTTTATTGTTTTTTATGACTATTATTTATTTGACTTATATTTTAGGAACTAATCTATTTTGGCACAAGTGTCAAATAGACCCATCTAGAAGTGCTCAATTTCCTCCATCAACTAAAACATAATGCAATTAGACACACTTACCTTTAAAAATTTGTCGATTAGCTTTTTTTGCAGGTTGCCACTCCACCCTGCTGACATGAAATTTTATTTAAATAAAAATGCTGATGATGTGGAATTTACTTCCTAATCTCAATGAGAACCCTAGTCCAAGCGAAAAAATCACATAACGATTTGATGTTTTATAATTGAATGATCGGTAGCGATGGATGAAGGGCATAACGTCGTGTAATTACCTACTCGCACCATGTCCTTCACCTGAACTGGAGATTGAATGATCGGTAGCGATGGACAGACTCCTTGGATCACCTTCCGCTGCGGATCGGCTACGGAAATCTGTTGCTCCGAACTCAGATTCCTCTGCGGAATCGTTGATGATGCTGATCTAACTGGTGATCGAGCGTCGGCTTTGTTGCTACTTTGCGTAGCAATAATCCTCTGCGGATTGATCGGAATCCTCTGCGGATTGACCGGAATCCTCTGCGGATTGATCGGCGATGCGCGAACTAGGGACTGAGCAATCGACGTCTTCGGATGAGCCTTTCTTTGATTCGGTTCTCCGGCGCCAATGACAGCGGCGGCGTGGCTGCCTCGCCGCTCTGATACCATGTCGCAAACTGAGCACTACATGTATGGTGTGGAGAAGAAGAAAGCAGGAAAAGATATTATTCAATAATGTTTGTGTTGTTGCAATCTGGAAAGAAGAAGAAGAAGAAACTTCTTATATACAGAGAGAAAGACTAATATATGAAGCAAAGATCGATGGTTATGACAGCCAAAAATATCTACAACATGTGTGAAAGACTTTTCTGCCCTATACTTCATCTTCTCCCATGTCATCTTTGGCACTTCATCCTCTGCTTCATTCTTATCCTCCAACAAGAGATGCATTCATTTTGGATCATTATAGATGTTATTAAACAAATATTATAAATATAGTACATAATGAATGTTATTAAACATGGTACACTAGTTGATGTCATTAAGAACTTAATATAAACGATGTCATTTTGAATAATGATTCATTATGAAAGGTGGACCATGATTTGGTGAATCTAAATCTAGAATATAATTTGCTATAGAAATTCAGTAGTTATACCAAATGTTATATTGTGCACGAGGGAAAATCTCATGTTTCGTATGTACATAATTGTATAGTAGAATACACATAAACTCTTAACATAATATACATAAACTCACATAATATACATAAACTTTTAGGACGCACAATGCATTGTGCACCCTGGTGCAAGATATAATTTGCTGTCATGGACCAGTGTTCACCTTACAAGGTTGACCCGACTCCAAAATACACAATTTACATACTGACAGGGCGTTTGGTTCACTGTAATTTAGATGTAATTTAATTGCAATTCAGTGGATGCTTCAATTAAACCGGTTGAAACTAGAAAAATAACAAAAGAAAAATATGAAAAGATAAAAATGCCGTTACTAAAAATAGAAAAAGTCATGAGAAGGACTAAAGTGTTCAAAAAATAATAGTTTGGAATATTAAATGACAAAAAGACAGTTTGAGACTAAATTTGGAATTGTCATCAAAGACAAATGACCTCTGGTGGAATTAACTCTAAAGTAGAAATAAAAACAATAATTCAAAATTCATATTCAAATTATATTGCTTAAACACTAAATTTCTAAAACATGAATTCAAAATGAATAGCAAGTTAGCATTCAAATTCTATCAACCCTATCATTTACTCCAAATATGCAAATTAAAACTCTAAACTTTTTTCATTTTCACAAAAAAAAAAAAAAAAAAAAAAAAAAAAAAAAAAAAAAAAACATTTCAGAGTGTGAATCCCACCAAATGATTCAATCTTGATTATTGTGTTAAGCATTTTCAATTGATGGACGAAAAATACATTTTTCCAATTATATATTTGATAGTGTAAGTTGTTGAATGTTGACTATGATTGATAAGGAATTTTCGTTCCAATTAATTCATGGAGAAAGTAATAAAAAATTGAAAAAATGAAAATAACCTTGTCTAAAATAGAGTTTATCAAAAGGAAGAAAGGTTAAAGAATGTTCACACTTACCTTTGTTAGCTATCTGTTATCTTCCTCATTGACATACAAAGAGAATTCTTCAAACCTAGTTCGTGAATAATATTGTATAGGATTAGTTTAGGTGTATACATATTGGTATATTAAGATTTGAGGAATAAAATCTCAATTAATCACTTAACATAAATAAAACTCAGAAATTACCTTTAAAAAAAATCATCCAAAACGGGCGTCATTTTTGCTATGCCGGAAAATACTATATTAGAAATCCCTCCACCCTAGTTCCACAATCAGCCGTGTCTCTATCTCCAGTCTCCACTCCCAGAGTCTTCTCCGTGTGGCGTCTGCTACTCTGAAGAATATAATACAACGATTTAAGCTTTTGATTTTGACTGAAGCCGCCTCATTATTCTTTCAATTTAATGGCTCGACGTCGGCGACTCAAAAACGTACTGGAGGATGCAAGTAGGGATTTAATAAGTGAGCTGCCGATAGAGGTAAAAGACAGAATTTTGGAGTGTTTGCCCACCCGAGATGCCGCCAGAATGGCTCTGCTCTCAAGGCACTGGAATGATGCTTGGTTGCAGCATGGGCAGCTTGTGTTTAATTCAGACTTCTTGCGTAGTGTTGAACAGTGCTATGATGATGAAGAAGGTATAACCCTCGTGAACATAATCAATAATATCGTGTTTCTCCATGCTGGGCCTGTTAAGAAATTTACTCTAGAGATAGACACTGCATATGATCCTTGGCCGTAGCAATCTGATTTTGATAAGTGGTGTTGTTTTCTGTCAAGAAATGGTGTGGAGGAACTTAACATATTTTTATATAATTATCCAGGGCCACAATATCAGTTACCATTTTGTTTACTCTCTTGCAGGACAATTAAGCAACTGATAGTCCGTGGCCCCTTTATTGATTTGCCTGTAAATGCTTGTGATATATTTTCCAATGTCACTTCATTAGAGTTCTTGCATGTTGAATTTAAGCGCGGTGTTAATGGAATTGCCTCTAGTATTAGTATTCCTAAGCTTGAGAAGCTGGCTTTCAAACTTTGTACGTAGCGGGGTCAATAAGTTTGAGATTAGCACTCCAAAGCTTGAAATCTTGTATGTTATTCATTCTATGGATGATGTGGTGGTTGGCTCGAGATGGTTGGCACCGCATTTTAAAGCCATTAAGAGTCTTTGGTTGTGTGACTCTTCATTGGAGGTGAGGATCTGCCTCGTTTTACTTTATGCAAATGGATGGATACAATTCTTTACCTTTTGTCTTGTTAAAGTTCTTGTGGTTGTTAATTTTGTTTTTTTTTTTATTGATATTTTTCAAGTGTATGGATACATCTATGTTTCCAACTGCAATAAATCTGCAAGTGATGATGCTATATGGATTAAATTTTTGTTGTCGGAAGCAGCTTGCCGTTGCTATGCAATTGCTTAAAAAAATTTCCTAACCTATGTGAACTGCGTATTTCGACGGACGAGGTTGAGTATATATTTGGCAATCATGTGTGATTATTCTTTTTATTTTTTTTTTTTTTGCTTTTCCAAATGTCCTCACTGTTGTGCTTCTCTTTCATTTCTTCTTGAGTTATAGTTCAGTTCGGAGGATGACAAAGAAGCTGCTTCAAGGCTTTTGGAGGATCCAGATAGTTGCTTTGTTATTCATGAGCTGAAGATGCTTAACACAATCAAGATTAAATCAAACAGTTCCGCACTCCAAATGCTTTTTATAATAATGTTGCTCTCAAAATCTCCTGCGCTAGAGAGATTTATTGTGAAGTTTTGGGGTGTGAATGCCCCCGAGGTGAGAAAAATTCAAAGGAAGTTGGAATGCTTTCCGCGTGCATCTTCAAACGCACATATTGTCTTCACGGACAATGACAACGATTCTATGGGTATGGAGTACTGGTAACATTGGTTTAGCCTTTCACAAACTTGGTGAATCTCCATTGGTTCAATCTTTAGAAATGTAAGCAATGGTAGTGTTGGCAGTTGAAATGTTTTCTAAGTTGTTCAACATGATCGAAGTATTTGTAACAGCAAGCATTGTGGGCAATTAAGAATGTTCCTCTATTTGCTTTTGTTAATCAGCTAGCATTGTGGAAATTTTTGACTGGACCTTAAACATATTTCTCAAATGCATGTTTGCTTTTGGATTTTTATCCAAACGCATTTCAGTGTTTGGGGTATTTTGACGAAATACCCACGCATTTATAAAATGATTTTGTATTATTTTACCAAATTGGAATGCGTTTGACATAAAAAGAAAAAAAAACAAAAAAAAAAAACAAAAAAAAAAAAAAACATATTTGCGTTCCTAACCTTCTGTGCTTGCAGAGGAACCGAAGGAGAATGTGTTTCCGGAGAGCTTTGCCAACTCGGGCTCGGAGAGTTGCGAATATGTTCATAGCATTGAGTTCAAAGTATTGTGTAGTCCATAGATTGTTTGCCATAATTAACAAGCAAAACAGAGGCCAATTATTACTAACTAAATTGTAAAGCTAAGTACAATAATATCCACCAACTGAAAATGCCTTCTTTTGAAGGATATTCATTAGGATAGATGTAAACAATTTCTGTTTTTGTAGAGGCACAAGAAAAACATAAGAAGTTTCCACATAGCATTAGGGAAATTGATCGTAATGGAAAAATATCAAAGTAATGGGAAAAAAAATGGACAAATTTTAGTCCTCAAACGCATTTCCAAATGCATCTTTGCTTTTAGATTTTTTTTTTTTTTAATAAAAAACCCAAACCAATTTTCGAAATGCATTTGACCTAAAAAAAACACACACACATTTGCTTTCGAACCTTCTATGGTTGCAAGAGGAACAAAGGAGAATGTGTTTCCGGAGAGCTTAACCGACCCCGGTTCTCTAGCAACTCAATTATAGGAATGAATTGCTATCTTTAATTCATTTGTATGTAATATATATTTTTTTGTCTAGATATATAGCAATTTTGTCATTTAAAAAAATATAATATCAACGACGATTGTATTTATACATTATTGAAACCTCTTTGTAGACAATATTGGTAGTATCAACGCAATCCTGTCCATCATCGTATAGAGTTAACACCTTCAGTCCATCAGGATAGGTAACTCGGGTAAAAATATATAATGGTAGAGTATTAGTCAATTAGCGATCCTTTTATATTTTAAGTCAATTAGTAATATCAAATTCATTTTCAGCAAATTATTCTTTTATATTTTTAGTCAATTAGTCAATTAGAATATCATATGCATGCAATGATATTTTTACCTAATTTTCGTTCCATTTTTTAATTGATAATGTATAATATTATTATTGAAATATTTCTGTTTCATTTTTAATTTATCTTTAATATTGTTTAAAATATGCATTTACTATTTATGATGTAGAATTATTATTGAAATATTTGCGTCAAAATTTTAGTTTCTGTTTCATTTTTAATTAAAATGCAATGATCTAACCATTTATTTCTTTCATATTAATCAATTATGGATCATTTTTTTAATTTGCAGTCAACTATTAGTATTCATATACATACATACATACATACATACATACATACATACATACATACATACATACATACATACATACATACATATATATATATATATATATATATATATATATATATATTCAATCAATTTGTAATGTCATATTCATTTTTAGCCAATTATTCTTTTTTTATTTTCACTCAATTAGTTAATTAGCCAATTAGAATATCAGATGCAGTGATATTTTTACCCAATTTTTGTTCCATTTTTAATTGATGATGTAGAATATTATTATTCAAATATTTCCGCTTCATTTTTAATTTACCTGTACTATTGTTTAAAATATTCATTTACTATTCATGATGTAGAATATTATTATTTAAATATTTCCTTTTCATTTTTAATTTACTTTTACTTGATGATGTACAATATTATTATTAAAATACTTTCGTTCCATTTTTAATTTCCATTTCATTATTTAAAATTGTGAAAGATTTATGACATAATTGTGATTTGATGTATTATACTATATAATATTACTGTGAAAAATTAAAAAATGCAATGATTTGACCATTTTCTTTTCCATTTTAGTCAATTATGAATCATTTTTTTTTTTATTTTGAGTCAATTATTAATATTCATTTCCTTTTCCAATTAACCTAACTTCAATTCCTTCTTCTTCTTTTTTCATTTTTAATTTTCATTGAATTATTAATATTCATTTCTTATTTCAATTTACCTAATTTCCATCCCATTTTTAATTGATGATGTAGAATATTATTGTGAAATATTTATGTTCTTTTTTAATTTACCTTTACTATTTACTATTGTTTGTGCAGGAAATCAAGTAAATAAGATTTTGTTTTTAATTATAGTATAGATTTAATCGTGAGGTTGTAACATATATATATATATATATATATATATATATATATGAATTGGTTCTAGTATAAATTATTTAAATTGGCTATATAGGGTATTATGTTAGACGTGAGAGCATTGAATATGGAAACAATATTACCAAGATTTTAGTTAATTTATATTTTACATTTGCTTACAAAATAAGTTGTATTAAATTAGTTGGTGATAAACATCCAAAAATTCTACACGGTAATACCATACATAATATTACCAATTATAATATTATGTTATTACCTAATTAATTAATGTCTTTTTTACACGGTATTATAAATACGTAAAAAATACGAAAAATTTGCAAACTTTAATGGTACCAAAAATATTATTATATTATAGAATATAACTAATATGTCTTTTCTATATGATATTATGTTATTACGTTAATACGTGAATATGGAAACAATATTACCAAGATTTTAGTTAATACCCATTTTACATTTGCTTACAAAATAAGCTTTATTAAATTAGTTGGTGAAAATACAGCTACGCATGAAAGATGAATTCAATCTAAAAATGACAGTTTATAGTTCTGTATGTGCACATGCAGACATGTTTGAAGGCTCAAAAGAATCTTCCAGAAGTGTAAAAAAAAGATTTACTAAAGATAAGTACAATT